AGGGACGATAGCTGATTTACACTAGACTGGAAGGGAACGTGACAAGTTTTCAGGCTATATTTCGTCTGTGTGAACGGCAGCCACGTTGAGAGAACGCGCGGGTTACACGATTGATGCACAGTTAACCCGCGAGATTTTTTTACGAGCATCGATCCGCACGCGACTGTATGAAATTAACCGGCAGCCGATGCGCATCCCCACGGGGGCCAGTCCGGTACAGCCCGTTATTTCGGTCAAACGCAGCCAACGCGTCCGGACAACAGGCAGAAATTTTCATTTCGCTCGGCCGCTTAATGGCGGTCGTTGGCCTCCATTAAACGGACCAGGCCTAGTTTCCAAATCATTTTGGTACCTCGCCCCTTTAAAATCAGGCCCGTGTCTCCGCCCTCTCCCGTTTTTATTATTCGTCGATTTACGACGCGTGCAGCAGCGACGCGGACAACGGGGGGAACTTTCCATTAAAGGAATTTGCATATTAATGGAACCGTGTCCGGCTGTAAGCTACGAGACGCGATTGGCCTGAAATTTCGATAGAAAAGAAAAAAAAAGAAAAAAAAGAAAGAAAAAAGAAAAGAAGAAGAGAAAACGTGGAAAAGTCCAAAGAGAACAAAAAATGGACAAAGAAGCAAAGATATAGGCGCGAGGCGTATATTCGTATATAGGGAAAACACGAATAATTATACGAAAGTAAGGGGAGAAACGTATCGTGAGAAAAGAGTCAGCGGGTCTCGATCTATTTTCAGATGACAGACATCACATGCTGCCGACCGGGGAGCTTCTGGTGTTCTCGGTGACTTCGTCCGACGCACAGTCGAGCTATCGATGCCGGACAGTGCACCGTGTCACCGGTGACACCGTGGAAAGTTCCTCGTACGCCAGGCTCGTAGTGACCGGTAAGTTTTACACAATGATACACACACTTGATCGCGTTGGTCCGCCTGATCGTTTGTCCATTGGACGTCGAACTTTCCGCCCGTTTGAATATTTAACGCCGACAAATGCGCCTGGGGAATTTCTCTGGCCGCGCTCGCGGTAAGTATAAGCAGAGTTTGCACGCAGGCGAACGCGGCGGACTCAGGTGGATGGAGGTTTGAACCGCGGCAATTGCTGTACACCCGCCAGCCTAGTTGTTTATTTCTTAGTCGTTGCAAACTGCTGGAAAATCCGACTGCGACTGCTTATGCAAATTCATAAAGAGGCCGGAAGGTACGGCCAAGGATTACGCGGCGGAAGCATTAGACTGGTTAATTGAACGCGCTGGATTAAAGTCGTTTAAATTTGAATGTCTGTTAAAATTTTAGTACCCTTTAAATGGCGAATATTATCGCGAGTCATTGACCCGAGCAATTGGATCGATGCTGAAGTTGGCAGGATCCGTTCGATTTGAAACTGGAAATGATGGAAAGAACTCGTCGAATTCCGACACGTTAGGAAATGCGAGTGGAAGTGAATAAAGAACGATAAGGGACAGAGAAGAAAGTGAAGAAAAGATAGGACAGGCAGGAAAAGGAGAGAATAATAGGGAAATCGGAATAGGAGGAGAGACGAAATGCTATGAAAGAGGAGAGGTAGAAAGAGAAAGGTAGAGAGAGAGAAAAAAAAAAGAAATTCGCCGGTACTTATCTTTGCCTTTACTTACTCCACGATTTAAAGAGAAATGACACAATGCTTGTCTCAAGTACGATTTTTATACCGGTCGTTTGATCGCTTTAATTGCTTTAATCGGTTATTTTTATATTTCTGTCTCGAACGTACGCCTCAATCGATACGCCCAATAGGAAACATTTGCATTTTGATTATCTATATATACACACATAGTCTCACATAATTATAAATGGTATTTATTTTGATAAAATTCCACGTGTATACGTTCATAACGTATTCATGCAGATTTTATGCAAATATTGATATTACGGTGCAGATTAATATCATCGTATATCCCTCATTATCGGACGTACCGCGTATGCGACGGAACTTTTCAGAAACGCGATCTTCGGTGACGTCAAGCGACCACGAGTATTTATTAATTCGTTCGTAGGATTTCGCGCGTCTGCTTAGACGCTCACGCACAGTAAAGGATTTCTCGCACGGTAAATCATAATGCATTGTTACGCGCTTGCCACGGCTAGTGGACAGTGCCCACAGCAACAACGTTCGTTCGTGCACACGCTCGCGAGCACACTCTGGCTTCTTCATGAATAAATCATGAGCGTCCGAAATGCTAATGGCCGAAACGTCCGCCACGGGTCGTCGGGTGTTTCTCCGGGCAGCCCCGAGTGCTCCGAGTCGTAAACAAAATGCACCGACATCGCTGAAAATACGAGCTGATTCCGAATGGCCGCGGCAGCTTTTACGCGCGTTCCTGCTGCCCATAAATAGGTTATAACCTAATTACGAGCATTGTCGTGCGAGCTTCCGCGCGACGTCACCCGAGTTTCCACCTCCGCGCCGGTTAGTTTCAATTGTTCGTTTTACTCGAAACGGATCCGACCGTTGTTGATGCCGACTTGAACGCGTTTCCTGGATCGGGACGCTCCGACTTAAAGGAACGTCGATATCTACCGGAAAGAGAAGCAGCGGATGTTTCAGCGAGCTTGTTAATTCCTTTGTCGCATTAATTTATACATTATCTCATTGTGAAAACCTGGATGCCGAGTTACATCGACGACGTATTTTCTCGAACGTATTTCTGAATTTCGTATAGACAGACGGAGATTACCTGAGTCATTCGAGCCAGAGTAATTCTGCAAATGCACAGACTATGATTAAACTTGCATGTTACGGAACATCGTCGGCCTTCAATACGAGAAGAGTAAAGAGTGCACTTCTTGCAGTTCGATGTTTTAGATATTGAAAGCGAAGTTACAAGTTTTCAACTTTTCGGAAATTTCTCTCGCCAGACCCCGTTTTGAATTACATACTTAAAAACGCCAGCATCTTTCGACGAGAATCTTCGTCGAGAGACCGACTCCCTTTCTCACCATGGTGCACGCGTTATTATCCTAGCGATCGTAATCAAACCCTTGTTAACGATCTAGCTGTGAACACGATAGTTCGTCGGCGCACTTCGTTCTTCGGCCCCAGAGAGCTGCTGATTCGTAAGACATGAAATAGGTCGAACGTGGATGAGCGGCTGGAACAATAGATGGCTAATGATCAAAGTGCAAGTTGAGATGCTCCGTCGACTGGAACGAAGAAGACACGGAATCGAATGCGAGATGAACATATTGTTCGTTGGTTTCGCGTCAAGCTTCAACGCTGAAATCAGAAGTGCGTTGCTGGCGAAGGTACGGTCGAGGGGGAAAAAAAGAAAGAATCTTTGAACACTTGGTCGCGAGTGACGAACTAACAGACACTGGATCTTTAATTCGACAAAAAAACATACGGGAATATTATTTGAAGATTTTAAACGCGAGACTTGGTCTGACTAATGCAGGTGTACTACTACTTGATGCATACGCTGTGTCCATTTAATCGTCTTGTTTATCATGAATACTACTAGAAAACTGTGGACTTTTATGCGAATTCATATTTTTGAATATTTGATTTAAAGGAAAAGAAACCTCGATAGAAAATTTTATACTCGTTTATTCCGGATATTTTACATTTTGTGCAATTTTTCACTTTCAAATTTCTCTTTAAATGCAGTTTTGTTATTACAGTGGAATTTCGTTTATACAAACTGGTTAATGCTGAGCCTCAAATATGGGAAACTATAATTGATCTATAACTTCTGTTATGCTTGTCTGTTACCTCTTATTACCCAAACAAGATAAGAATAGAGTACGTAGGACACTAATGAGAATCTATTATGGTTGGTCTTGTCTCCCGTTCGGATAAACGAAGTTTTACTGTACTTAAAAAGAACATCTTTCTGGTCTGACCAAATACCAAGTGTACTACTACTGACGTACACGTTACGTCCATTCATTTGTTTTACTCCTCACAAGTACAAGTAGTTATGAATAAGAAACATTGCGTAGCTATCAATAAGAAACATTACTACATTGAAACAAGATTTTTCTCAATAATATATTACAAGTGAAGTTTCAAACAATTATTCCGTGGGAAAGCAGCAAGAGATCTAGCAGAGTCGACTTCGAAAATTCACCATTAGCCGACAAAGACACACTTAATTCATCACCGTGCAATATATATACGCAGAGAGCGCGCGAGTGTGGTGAAACACACCGTGGCACCATGGAGTCACGGTGGAAGATAAGACGGGCGAGAAATTAATTGATCTCGGCAAGCGTAGTCGCGCAACGTCGCGATGGAAAACGCAAGTTTGCGAGGATCGGTGTGCATCAGTGTCTCGCCAGCGCTCGGCACCTGTCGGTTCCTCTTTTTATCACAGACGCCGCCATTATCCAGCCCAGGCATTTTTTTCGCAAGCTTTCACCCGCTACTTGCCATCCTCGTCGCATTAAAGTCAGAACGCCACCATTTTAGGGAAGCACCGCCTTTTAAGCCGGCTGTCCATTAAAAACAGCGGTAGCCGGGTGAACCGCGAGTCGTTTTAAAACTCCAAATTTCTATTCCTTGCTAGATCCGCAAATGCCTTGCAGCCTTCGCGGACTACTAATGGACTATCGTTTCGATCGGTTAGAAACTGAAATATCCCTTCTCGATGTCCTTCCATCGCGACGAGTGGATGATCCGCGTGGAAACGGAATCGCCGTGGAAAACGAAATCCGAGAACGCTTCTTGCTCGCGGCGTCCTCCGAGGAAACTTTAATCTGTACTCCGTGTCGCGTTACCAGCCTCCCCCTGTGATGTTGAACGTTTCTCCTTCTTCTGTGTGTGCCTGCCAGACACGGAGATGTGGCTGTTTTAACTGGGGTGGCTGGCGTTGGGGTTGGTGAAGAATTGGTTCGCGAGGAAAACAGCAGGTGCCTCCGTGTTTATCTCTCGTGCTCAACGAATGGTTCTGCGTTTCGTGTTGTAACGTTGAGCAAAAAAATGAGGAACGAAATTTTAATTACACGAACGAATAAGCATCCATTCGCTTCGATAAAAATCGTGCCCAGTTGTTGCACTGACATCTGCTTGATGGCGAGTACGAGTATGGGAATTTGTTTGAACTTTAAACAACGGCGTAATCGATTTTCTCCAAACAATCGAATAATTGAAAGAAAACATTTCGTCCTATCGTGCGCAAACTATGATAAAAGAAAAATCTCTTATCTCGCGGCCTGCCAGAGCCAGATTACTTTCGCAAACGCAACCAAAGCCGAATGTTGTCTTCGAACACAGTTCGCTAACAATCTCACGCTCTTTCTCTCGAGCAAGCAACGCGAGTTTCAAAGTTCCACCGTGCGTATCAGAAATTCGAGTTTCCTACACCGCGATATTCGCGATCTGCGATTGATCTCCGGTATAATTGAATTCCACGATCACTTTGGCGGGAAGAAAACTCTCGGAGGACTGACAAAACTCAATTGAGCGTCGAATTAGTTTCCACGGCAGAATAGGTTGCACGCGCGGTGGTTTAGCATCTTCTCTGTTTTATTGGCCCGTGTCGACGCCGTGGTTTTTGCACGGCCGATAGTCTGCTAGGATCTCGCCACGAGTTCCTCGAGGAGCGAAGAAGCTCCCGGGGTACTTTCGAGTCTCGGCCGAAATCCAAAGCGTAACTCACGCCAGCACGTTTATCCAACGTGGCAAAGAAGTGCCACCAAAAAGTTGCATCAACGTGTCGCTTTATTTACGATCCGACCGAGCGCAGGAGTCATAAAAGCTGACGATAAATAAAACTCATTCCGGGGAATCGGTGTCTGCGTTATAGAACGTTGATTTTACGACACGAAGACAGAAGTACGTAGACGCGGTGGAAGATTTCACGATGATTCGAGCCGTTCTTTATCATTTCTTGACGATTTGAATATGTATTTTATTTGTCGAGCTATAAATTTTCGAGCTTATCTCGGGTTTAACTTTCATCATCAGGGAATGGTAAAAAATTAACTGCTTTTGGAATCTGAAATTTCAATTCCTGAACTTTCACATAACTAAAATAGAATCGCTATAAATCGG